AAAAGAGTAGAGAATATGTAAAATTTAAAAATAGTTAAAATTTAGCTAATCAAAAATAAAAATCATATTCTAATAGAATATGTTTAGATGCTCTAAAATAATTTTTTATTACAATGATACTATAAGCAACTTGTATAACTACTTTATAATTTTTTTCTCTCTCCTCCTATCATTTTTGATGGGCCAAGCCCAAATGGGTCAATCCATGTGAGAAGTCCAATCTTAAATAAGAGTCTAGTCTTATAAAAATTCACCAAGCCTGATATGGTCCAAGTCTAGTCAAGCTCATCAGGGAGTTACGTCAGCTTGACTACGTCATCAAAAGAGCGTCCGGGACCCTCACCCTTAACCTCACCGTCTTGGAAATAGTCAACCCTCACCTTATCTCTGATCGAGTCTCGTGGGAAGCACCTCAACCACCTCATCCGTTGAGAAAAAATCGTGAGCTTCACAAGAATAGTTACTTAGTTGCTATTAAACCGCCCCGATCTGTTAGGGTACGACTATAAATTGTAAGTCTCTCCAACACTTAGGGGGCAGAATCATCACACTCAACTAAGCACAATTCTCGCCCCTCTCTCTAAGCTTGTAACTCTCTGATGTCCTTACACTTGAGTAAATAAAATACCTGGCGACCCTAGCCATTCAAAAGTGGGCGTAGATTGCATTGATCGAACCACTATAATTCTTGTCTTCTCTATTTATTGATTAATTACTACATTTATTACTGATACTTGACAGGTGGTGTGCAAAGCCAATTTATGAATTATCAGTTTGGCGCCGTCTGTGAAAACTCGACAAAGTTCTCACTTCTAAACATTTTATTTGTTGAACCAATGACAATCACTACCAGATTCATGAACCAACCTGAAGATAACCCCTCACCATGAGAGGAGGAGGTTACTCCTCCACCAACCAATTATGTCCTAAATGCGCAGCAAATGCTCGAGACCATGCAACAAATTATGGCCCAAAACCAGCATATCCTACAACTAATGCTCGTTGGGCAAGGAGGAGCACAACTTGGACCTCAAGCTCGAGGAGCTCCACGCCCTAAGCGTCGAGGAGCTCCACGCCCTGGGCGTCAAGGAGCTCCCCACATGGATGTTCCTCATCTGGGTGCCCCCTTTGGAGCCCCCTTGGACGCCTCACCCTTGGGAGCCCCATTAGGGGCCTGCACAGTGGAGTTCCCCACAAGGGACCTCCACTCCCTCCTCCTACTCCCCCTTCTCATGGTGAAGACCCTCTTTTCCATGAGGACGAAGGGGAGAACCAGAGCGTGAAGCATGGAAGCCATTTCTATGATAATTCCAAAGGAGTTCCCAACCACTAGGATGAAAAGATAAAAGAGGTGTAAAATCAAATGGGTGACATCTTTAACGCCATGAAGGCACAAGGACCTGAGATTGTGGATAACCTCATCAGACGAACAAAAACGTCTTGAAAACCTGACGTGGCAAACTACCCTCTCCCTCAAAAGTTCAAAATGTCGTCAGTGGAGACCTTTGATGGAATGAAGGATCAACTAGACCACCTCGAATCCTACAAAACTCTAATGCAGCTGCACAACGTCCCAAAAAAGATCATGTGTAGGGCATTCCCAACCACCTTGAAAGTATCCGCTCGACAATGGTTCGCTAAGCTCTCCCCAGCCTCCATTACCTCTTTTGCTGAGCAAAACAAGTCCTTTGTGTCATATTTCATTGGAAGGCATCACCACCAGAAGCCAGTCACCCACTTGCTTAGCATAAAGCAGGACCGAGAGGAGAGCCTAAAGAGCTGCCTCACTTATTTTAATGAGGAGGTCATCCAAGTAGAGGAGCCTGATGACAAAGTGACTGTGACCACCTTTTTGGGAGGCCTCCGCTCATCAAGCTTCCTTTTCCAAGTAATGAAGCACCCACCAAAGAGCATGCTGGAGCTACTAGCAAAGACCCAAAAGTACATGNAGGAGCTGCCTCACTCATTTTAATGAGGAGGTCATCCAAGTAGAGGAGCCTGATGACAAAGTGACTGTGACCACCTTTTTGGGAGGCCTCCATTCATCAAGCTTCCTTTTCCAAGTGATGAAGCACCCACCAAAGAGCATGCTGGAGCTACTAGCAAAGACCCAAAAGTACATGAATACTGAGGACATCACAATGGCCAAACAAGGCGAGTCTTCCAAAATAGGAGAGAAGAGGAAGGAAAGAGACAGGGACAACAAGAAAGAGCCTAGCAACAAGCGCAGCAGAACAGAGAGGGTACCCATCAAAGACTGGCTCGGTTCTACTCCTCAAAGAGACTGACAAGCCTTCACTCCCCTTAATGCTGCTGTCAGGCACATTCTATTCTAGATCCAGGATGACCCTACGATAAAGTGGCCAGGAAAGATGAAGTCTCCTCCAAACCGCAGGAATCCGAATAAGTATTGTTGCTTCCATCGCGACCACGGTTATGACACCGATGACTGTTATGACCATAAAAGACAAATCGAGGACCATTCAACGAGGTCACCTGCGCTAGCATGTTGCTGGTAGAGGACAGACGTCACCACCGCCTCATAACTAGGAAGATCAACAGCTCATTGGGAAAATTTACACTATTTCAGGAGGATTGGCAAGAAGTGGAGAATCACTCTTTGCCATGAAGGCCCACGCCAGAAAGGCGAGGCACCTCGATGAATTGCGCCCATCCAAGGCGCCTAGGCAGGGCATTAGCGAGGTCATATCCTTCTCAGATAAGGATTTGGAATAAATCCAACACACCCATGACGAGACTCTAGTGTTCACCATGATCGTTGCCAATATTCAGGTACGNTTGGAAAATTTACACTATTTAAGGAGGATTGGCAAGAGGTGGAGAATCACTCTTTGCCATGAAGGCCCACGCCAGAAAGGCGAGGCACCTCGACGAATTGCGCCCATCCAAGGGGCCCAGGCAGGGCATTAGCGAGGTCATATCCTTCTCAGATAAGGATTTGGAATAAATCCAGCACACCCATGACGAGACTCTAGTGTTCACCATGATCGTTGCCAATATTCAGGTACGAAGAATCTTGGTGGATAGCGGCAGCTCTATGGATATCCTATTCGCAAAAATTTATGACAAGCTCAACCTGGGTAGAGAAAGACTACAGCCTATCAAATCACCCCTTATTGGGTTCTCAAGAGAGAAGGTGTATCCTCTAGGGTCTATTACCCTACCAGTTACAGTCGGAGTAGTACCCCAAAGTTCCACAGTCATGGTCAACTTCTTAGTAATAGACTGTCCATCAATCTACAATATCATACTAGGGTGACCTGCTCTTAACACATTAAGAGTTGTGCCCTCCACCTATCATCNTTCCACAGTCATGGTCAACTTCTTAGTAATAGACTGTCCATCAATCTACAATATCATACTAGGGTGACCTGCTCTTAACACATTAAGAGTTGTGCCCTCCACCTATCATCTCATCTTCCACTTTTCAACCCCGAATGGAGTCGGAGAGGTCAGAGGAGACCAGGTAGCAGCAAAAGAGTGCAATGTCTCCTCAATGAAGACCATGAAACAACATGAGGCATTGCAAGTTGAGGTCCTTGACCCAAGAAATGACGCCACCATAGAAAGAGGAGAATCAGCCGAGGAGCTCATCCCTATGGTCTTAGATGAGGAGCATCCAGACAGAAGAGTATACATTGGTTCTTCCCTTTNGAGAATCAGCCGAGGAGCTCATCCCTATGGTCTTAGATGAGGAGCATCCAGACAGAAGAGTATACATTGGTTCTTCCCTTTATAAAGATCTAGTACGCCAGCTAGTAGACTTTCTGAGACATAACATAGATGTCTTTTCATGGTCACATGTAGACCTTGAGGGCATCTACCCAGTGGTGGCTACACATCGCCTCATTGTTGATCCTCGCCACAAGCCTGTTCGCCAAAAGCTAAGAGGTGCCTCCATTGAAAGGCCCCAAGCTATGGATAAAGAGGTGGGAAAGCTAATAAATAATGGGGCAGTCAGAGAAGTAGCATATCCAGAGTGGCTTTCAAATGTGGTAATGGTAACTAAAAGAAATGAGAATTGGCGCATCTGCGTCAACTTTACCAAGCTCAACAAGGCGTACCAATAAGATAGCTACCCACTACCATGAATCGACCTCCTCATCGATGCCACCACNTCAACTTTACCAAGCTCAACAAGGCGTACCAATAAGATAGCTACCCACTACCATGAATCGACCTCCTCATCGATGCCACCACGGGACATGAGTTGATCACCTTCCTGGATGCGTACTCTGGGTATAACTAGATTAACATGCACCCCCCCAGACCAGGAGAAAACATCATTTATCACTCCAAATGGGACCTACTACTATAGGGTTATGTCCTTTAGGCTAAAAAATACAGGAGCAACCCATCAACGGCTAGTGAACAAAATGTTTCAATCTCAGATCGGGCGAACAATAAAGGTATACGTGGATGACATGCTACTGAAAAGTGTCACAGTAGTAGATCACATTGAGCACCTCCAGGAAACTTTCAATGTTCTGAGGTCCTATCATATGAAGCTAAATCTTGAGCGCCTTTGGCGTAGGGTCAGAAAAATTCTTAGGTTTCATGGTCAATCAAAGGAAAATTGAGGCAAACCCCTACAAAATCAAGGTCATACTCAACATGAAGTCACTCTCCTCCACCAAGGAGCTCTAGTGCCTCAATGGAAAAAAAATTACAGCACTTAATAGGTTCGTTTCCAAGTCTTTCTTCAAAATTCTCCGAAAGGCCTTCAAGTGGGGACCTGAGGCAAAGGAAGCCTTCCAAAGGCTCAAAGTCTACTTGGCCACACCTCTCCTCCTGTCATATGCTACTCTAGGAAAAATTATGTATCTATAC